TTTGATTGTGATCTGCAAGTACCTACATGAAGATTTCTGATTGCAAAGGGTCTTTATTCTAGCAGACAAAAGCATAACAAGATCCCATACCTGGCAGCTGAAGCTAGACAAACTCAGACTAGAAATAAGGCTCAATTTTTTACCAGTTGAAACAATTTACCCTCAAATATAATAGATTCTCCATCACTTAAAATCTTTACATCAAAACTGACTACCCTTCTAAATGACATGATATAGCTCAATCTGAAGTCAAGAGCTTGATACAGGAATCACTTGGTGAAAGTCAATGGCCTTTGTCATTCATTGATAATAGTTCCTTCTGGCCTTAAAATCATGAAAATAATTACTTAGGTGTATTTGCACTTTTGGGGAGGGACCCTGCAGTTCTTGCTCAGATTAAACTTCCACTTGCGATTTTCACTGAGAGTTTTGCCTGAAGAAGACTGAACGATGAAGCCTAAAATAGTTACCTCCTGAAATTTAGGTCTGAAGTTGCCTGGTAGCCATCAAAGAATAGTTGCTGCAGATTTCAAATTCTTCCTGGACCTTAGACAAAAACATGTAAGTTCTACAGGTAAACTTGAACTTTAGAGAATGTTCAAGACTAAACATGGAAACAGCTTCCAAAACCATGGGGAACAAATTTCAGCACATTCAAAAGCAGGCGCTAATCTGATAGCTCTCAGAAGTCAGGAAGGAGTTCTGCTGCTTTAAAATAATACTGTTGTCTGGGCTCTGGAGAACAACTAGAAGGTTTGAGCTGTGCTTCCAGGTGCACTCAATTCCTAAGCTTTGCAGGTGTTTACAGTGTTATTTGCAATCAGAAACTTTATATTGTATGCCAGATCTCCACAGAAGTTTTCTGGTGAGAAATATATTGGGCCATAATCATCTCTAGTGTAACTCTGCTGAAGGTAATAGAGTTATACTAGGGATGATTTTGTTCCAGTGTACTCAGCACTCTGCTAAATGGAATTTGAGGAAGCCACGGAATGTCAATAGTGCACTTTAATCTTCACAATCCAGGGTCCCAGAACTATATCTTACTTATTATTCCTGCTTTTTTTCTCCATGTCTATATCTTTTAAAGTGTCTAAAGTTTAACGAGCTTTTACAATACAAAGAATTTGCACAAAACCCATCATTCATAAGTATTGTGTAATATTATACAAGTGTATTTTTAATATTTATGTTTAAATTATGGGGTTGAGCTTCTTAATGTAGCAATCCTTGTTTGGACAGACATCCTTGGATGCATATCATTTAAGACTATCCATCACTTTCTTCACATCTTAAACTAGGATTGATGCCACGCTGAGTGAGATGGTGGTTTTTAATTTCCCAAATTTCACCTTCCAAGCCACTATACCTAAAATATCTTAACTTTATTACTGTTTTCCAGTGCAGAGTGCCTTTGGGAAACAGTGCTTTCATTCACTTTCTCTATCAGTTTGAGAAACCAATTTCATAAACTACATTTTCCTTTGCATTTCTGTCCCTGACCTATGACTGAGATCTGAAAAAAATCATACTTGTAGCCATTCCTCATGCTAGAATATTGACACTACCATCTTGTCTGCATTATCTCAGTATTTCCTGTTTATTAGTGACATGTTGTTGCCTAAACTAACCTGTAAACTGAGTAAAACTGACACTGGGCACAGAGGATCTAAGAAATCTTTTATAGGCACTGGCTTTGTGGTTAAAAAAATGAAAAATCTTGGAGATTTATTTTAAAAAATTGCTGGGAATTTGTAATGTATTCCTGTGGCTTGATCTTTTTATTTAAGTGCCTCTTCTGAGGTTTGAACAGCACATTTGTGTGTTCTCAGAAAGAAAAAATTTAGTTTAAACTAAATTGCTGGGCCTTTCCCAAAATATTTAAGTACAGTCATAGAAATGTAGAACTGGAAGGGACCTCAATAGGTCCCTGAGCTACTATAGCAATAATGATCATAGGCATGCACAAAGTGATGTCAGTATTTTCCAGTTATTCTTGAAATGTTTAACTGAAGATTTCCCTGTAGAATTTTCTGACATGGACTTTGTACTGAAAAACCAGCCTGCAAATACCGTTTTTTTTATATGTATATAGCTACCAGATACATTTCTATTTAAGAAACCTAATTAACTCTTCATGTGCTACAGTATATCTATTTTAGTGCAGCCAAGTTTTCACTTGGGTATAATTTAAACCCAGTACAAGGGTGTTGCCCTCCCCCAAGACAAGTAATATTACAAAGTATATTTTTGTGTACCAGAATGTTCATTGGAGGAGTTTAGCTGAAAGTTCCATTAAGCTTTTCCTGTTTGGCAAGTATAAGCAATTCCTAAGTATAGGAATTGTTACAATAATATGTGGGGGGGGGAGAGACTATTCTAGGACATTGGTTGTTTTTTGTCTGTAAATTTTAGGAAAGCTTATTTATCTAGTGCTCATGAAGCTTGATTTTTCTACTTCAGTAATTACTTTTTAGTCTACTTGAATATAGAAATAACCCATCAATAAAATATTAGAGGACATATGATGAAAATATGTGGAGGCTTAGTAAAAAAAATAAAGATATTCCAGACATAAAAAAATGTTAGATAATATAGCTTAAATTTAAACTAATTAAATAGATTTTAAATGAAATACAGCTTTCACTGTTAAGTGCTAGATTTCTCCCCCAAACATTAGACAAAGTTGCATTGTTTACAAAAATTTATTAATACAATCTTTACACACTTTATATAACAGTTATCAAAGTCCTAGTTATATATATCATGTGTGTAATAATACTTTAAGTTATTTTTATATTCAGTTGCACACAAAATAAGATCTGCAAGACTAACATCTACCTAAATTATCACTGTATCTCAAATCTGCTCTGTTTTAGTAAGGCTGTTGGCTTTTCTAAAAATTATACAGAGGATAACCTATGTGATCACTTTATAATGCTTGCAACTAGCCACTGAACTCGAAATGATAGTTCATAAATAAAACGTCAATAGAGCCCTATTTCATTATACCACAGCTGACACAAATACAGCAACGTCTGCCGATTATCCAAGAACAAATAATTAAGACTAAAATGCAAGCTGATGTGTTGCAGCATTGTAGGGCCACTAAATAGCCATCTGTGAATTCGTGGCGATTTAAAAGGCGAAGAAAGGCACGAAACGCTGCAAACTGCATCCTGCGTCACATTGCCTGAGGAGAATGCAAAATTAAAGTAAGATTGAATTCATACACACTTCTCAGGCATAGATCGAATGCCTATGTGCTAGCACTGTTTGCAATAAGCTCCGCTGGCACTCGCCATCCAGCCTGGGATTGCAAACTCAATTCTGTTTCCTTTGATTTATTACTTTACACTGATCAGACTGGTAAAGGAAAATGAAAAGTCTTTTAAATTTTACAAGTGGCTTTTCTTTTTAAGCAACTGAAGACTGTAATTTAGGGCTGTTTATTTTCCTTCAAAAGATTCCTCTAGAATATGGTTAGGGATCTGAAAGGAAACATACGTACATGTCCTCTTTAGTCACCTTTCAAGGAGGAGGAATGGAAAGTTCCCTCGGGCAGGTTTGGTTTGTCTTTTCCCCAGAAGGTAAGCTATTAATCCGTACATATAAAGATGAGGTTGAAATGATTCATCGGTTATTAGAAACTACACATTCTATTATGACAAAAGTTTGTTTTATGAAATAAATTTTACTAAGCAATAAGCCATAATGTAGAAAAATACATTTTACCTCCAAACTCAATAAACAAGAACAAAACTTTAGTTGTAGTGCATAATTATTTAGTGGTAGCTACAACAGGGGTTCCTAAACTTTTACAATAAGAACTTGCATCAAACAGAACGAAAGAGTGAGAGGCGTTCACAACCTTAAATTGAAAATAATAATAATAATAATAATTAATAATAAGTGACTCAGATGGGAAACCGTGCTTAAATAGTGCAAGACAGGTCGGGAGGGGGAAGGGTCTACAAGAAAACAACAAAGGAAAGGAGCAACTCCGCTTGAAAAATTCAAAGGAGAGAATCCTGGTCATTTCACATGATGAGAGGCATGGACAGCACTGGAGAGTAACACATTATACTTTGCATCAAGTTCCAATACCGAGCTGCCGACGGTCAGTTAGGTAGTGGATCTAAAGTGGAATTGTCTCATGTTACCCAGACCCTCTGGCAGTCTAAAACCACGCATTCATTAGGGGCACCTCCTTTCTGATCTGTGCTCTATCGCTTCCAGTATCGAAATTTCAAATGGTTTCCAATCGCTCTAATTTCTAGTTGGCTTTGTTCTGTAGCTATGCCCAATCAGTTAGAAAAACAATGAATGGGGCTAAATATTTCCCCCCCTCCAATTGTCAGAGATGCACAATTTTGACAGAGCTGTTTCACCACAGGAGAATTATCTTCTAAGCTCAGTGTTTGAGAGACACAAATACATATAAAAGTGGAACCAAAGAAAGCAGAAAAATTGAAATCTTTCGCAAGGGGGAGGCAGTGCCCCCTTAAAATAGGCTAGTGGTAAAGGAGCCTGTCTTGAGACTCACGGGGGGGGGGGGAGGGGGTAAGAATCTGCTTCAGCAATTCTTCCAAATCATTATCACCATAATCCCCGTGTAGCGGGGCATCAGTGTCTATGTACAGTAGCAAATGGTGACTATTAATGTCTTCGACCCTGTCGTGGATAAAAATACTATCCTTTTAATTTCACTTACAAAAATAGGAGCAATATTCAAACAATGATTGTCTTTTTTCTATTTATTTTATATAAAAACATAAACAGCTCAGGCGAATTTTTTTGTTCTTGTGCAGGCTTTATATGAAGAATTGTTCTCTATCAGTAGTATTTATATATATATATTTATATATTATATATAACTTAATGATTGGTCCACAAAGTAGATCTGTGCGTTTCTCTAGTGCTTTTATACAAAAAGAAAAACAATATTATTATCAAAATATTCATTTAATGGCTTTACTTCATACATAAATACATGTTTAGATAACACAGGAGCGGTGATTGTTCAGTCACTTTGGAAATGACTTTTGTTTTTCTTTTTTTAGGGGCTCTGTATACACAGGAGTGGTGGGTTACTCAGCGCTACAAATACGCTACTCGGCGTCCTTTGTTTTTAACTCTTTGTTTATACCTTTTCCCCAGGACCGCTGCCAAGTATTTCTTGACAGCCATTTGTTTCCGGTAGCGGCTGTAGCTGTCTGTGAAGATGCCATCCGAGTGCCGTTTGGAGAGCGGTTCCGAGTCGTCCTCCAGGCCGCTGGCACCGCTGCAAAGCAAAGGACAGTTGCAACATCTGGATCCATTCCCCTGTCCTGCCTGCACTTTGGAGGCCTTCCCTGCTTTGCATTTTGGCTCTGGTAACTCCGGGGCTGCTTTAACCTTTCCAGATTATTATGATTATATGTCATTTAGGGAAAGCTGTATTTGTTTTGTTTGTTTTTCCAAAGCTATTCGATTTGGGGGAGGGCGGGAATGAAGAAACTAAAGCAACATGTAGACGTCAGGGAGGCAGAACGAAACAAAGAATCTATCTAAACACGCGGTGAAGTTGATATCTGATCATAATATAAGCCGACAGTCGGGAGACAATATATTCATGGCATGAATTATTCATTATGAAAATGTAATCTGTTTCCCCATGGGCTTTATTAAAATGTTACCTTCTGCCGAAATGATCTTCATTACGCTGGGCTTGCCATGTGCCAGGATGTCTGACTTTAAACGCGTTTTGTTTAAGCCCCGCTTGTGGTAAATTCTATTCTTTACAATGGAGAGCTCTCTTAAAATACCCAGATCTACACTTACAACTGATCTCTTGTTGCGGTTCTTCCCACCGACTATAGCCTGAATCTCTGGGCTACTGAATCAATGGGCTACTGGACTTTCTTTACAATGACCAGCTTTTTATCATCAACTAGCTATCACTGTACCTTTCACTTGGGGTCAGAGAATGAGCTCGAGCAAAAACCCTGGTGGATTTTGACATTTTCAAACTGGGTGTGTTGCTTAGTGCGCGAAACACCAACCACACAGCGAGCGTAACAATTATACACCGGTGGTACATTACGCGTGGTTTAATAGAAAGATGGTTTCGTCTTAAGTGAAATAAACAACAAATAAAAATCTTACCCCACCCGTTTGGCCATCAAAGAATGCAGGTATTTCCGAGCGGATAGCTGACCCAGGACTCTCCTGTAGGCTTTGTTAAATATCCCATCGGCGTGCCTAAGTAGGAAACAAAGATCAAACACAGGAAGAAAGATCAGTGTCCAAGCCTGGGAACCGGACCTCAGCAGCCCCTCACTCCAAGGAGGGATGGCGGAAGGAAGCCCCTGGCTGGCTGGTGGCTTTATGTACCCTGAGTGCAGAGGGCGGCCTCCGCCTTAGGACCCCCAGGGACAGCAGGGCCCTCCCAGCACTGGCTCTCCCAGCCCCCAGGCTCATTTCCTGAGCGCAGCGCTCGCCTGGCGCGTCTGGTGTGTTTCCCGGAGTGCCATCACTAGCCTTCCGCGGACAGCCTGCTTCCCCACCCCTCCCCCGCCTGCTTGGAGGTAAGGGGCGCTTTTCATCTCCTCGAGTCTTTATTCGGGCGGGAGGGCACTGAGGGAGAGATGTGTTGCGGCTCTTTTGAATGGGATTTACCAGGATCGTTTTGCTCCAGCTCAAGTCATGCGCCCACCAAGGGGCTCCCACATAATCACCTCTTTTCCGGTGGGTAGTACAGGGTGTACATGTCGTCTATCATGGAGGAAGGGTTCGCTATGCCAAGGGGGTCGTTGTCAAAGGCGAAATCCTGCAGAGTGTTTCCATCCTCGTCATACACTTCATCTTCCAGCCTAGCCCGGAAAGCAAAGGGCAAGAATTCAGACGCATGTGGCGGTGCCTCCTGAGAAATCCTACATATAGGAGCATTTGATCAGTGTTATTCAGGGCTACTCTTCTGCCTGGGACCTATTGGGTTTTAATATGGGCACTTCCGAGGCTGGACTGAAGGCCCTGCTAGAGGAGCCCACAGGCAAGATTACACCTACCCCTCTATCCCCCCCCCCCTTCATTTCATCCCCCCGCCTCCGCATCAGTGTAAGATCAGACGCGAGAGACATACACAAGCAAACCAACCTGCTGCTAGGCTGGGGCCAGAAACAAGTCCAGAGGCTGCCAAGGAAGCAGCTGATCACTACCCACCTTTCCCAGCACGAATCCTGATCGCTTTCCAAACTACATACCCAGGCGCGCGGGGGGGGGGAAGGGGGGGGGCTATAAGTTAAGCGAGACAAGAAGAACAGAGCTTCCCACTGTAAGGCACCCGCTTTCTCTAGTCCCCCCTCTTCCCCGAGAGATCAGAAGCTCTGCCGTTAGCAAATGACTGCTCCTCCTTTCTCACAGCAAGTGGGATCGGGGTGGGGCTTGTGTTTGTTTGTGTTTTTCGTTGAATGGTGTCTCTGTCCTTGAAGATCGCTTGAGTTTTGTTTTCCCTCTCTCTCTGTGTGTGTGTGTCTCTGCTGCAAGATGTAGGTCACTGAACGTTTCAGGCAGCTATTTTTGTCTCCGAGCTCTGGCAGGGAGATTAATAATAGATGCGTGTAAAGTGTTTCGCTCCTGCTAATTCAGGCGCTTGAATGAACCGAACCAGGTCCCCTCAAACGAATGGCCCCTCTCACCCCACTTAACGCCCTCTGGAAGGGCTGGCCATTTATGCGGGGACGGCTCCCCCCAGCTCTGGCAGCCAGGGGCCCTGCGGCGAGACTGACCTGAATCCCAAAGCCCCGGGTAACGCTTTGGGTCGTTTAAGGCCATTCCGGAGCGTGTGCTGCCCCGCACCCAAGGGCGAGCTCCGACCGTTCACATGCGCTCCAGAGTGAGTTTCGCAGTTCAGATGTTGCATGCACATTAGGGCTGAACCACGAGATTGTCCCCTGTGGGACTTGGCGGAATAAATAGAGCTGCATAATTTTCCGAGGGAGCTAAGATGGGTGGATCGGAAAGCTCCCCCGTTCTTCTGTTGTAAGAAGCGCTGCTCGTTAAGGGAAGCCAGATTTACAGCAGGCTAGAGCCAGAAGTAGATTGATTGCCGCTGTGTAAAGCTTCACTTCCTCCTAGTAAGTGGGAAATCGTCCTTTGTTGTATAGGTTTGGACTGGGGGCTGCCCCTACACTCGGCTCAATAGGTGACGCTAGTTCTGAAATCCTGGCAGCTCTGCTCCGAATCAAGTGAGCGCGAGAGAGTTTTACGGAATCCTGAACCTAAATCTCAGGAAGAGTGAGCCGGATCAAGCTCTGGCCTGAGTACTACAGTAACCCCCCTCTCCCCTCCAGCGAACTTTTTAAAAAGATCCGGAAAATAGTACTTAAAGTACTTTAACCAATAACACAGGTTGGGGGCAGATTCTACCCTGCTATGATACAGGAACTTAATTCTAGAACATATTCTCTATATTAGAGAGAGAATAGAGAGGGATATTATATGTGTTGTAAAACTAAGTTTTATCTATATCTACACATATTCCTTAATACCTGGTAAACCCTTCTGCCAGAAATGTGTCATTACAATCTTTTTCTAACGGTATGCTTCAAAATGCTTTCATCTAGGTACTGTCTATCCTGGAAGCACCTGTCAACTCTATTTTAGCAGGTTATCGCCACTCAAGTTAGGCTCAGAGGTGGCCGGAAATATATATATATAATGTGTTATTGCACTGTAGTGCATATAGAAAAATGGATCCACTAAAAGTCTAATCAGCTTTTTCCTATAAGGCTTACGCTGCCTTCTAAGAACTATGCTTCATTCAGGACCCCAGTTAACAGAAATCGAATAGTTTCACCAAAACCAAAGTCAGAGGTATTCTCTAGTATTTAGGAGAAAAGGGGATAAGAATAAGACACGCGTGTGTAGGAAATAATACAGCATAAGATCCTCCAGGCTAACAAGACTTGATGGAAGAAAGGGGCTAGTGCATTAAACCCTCCATCTCCTGGAGAACATAAGAATCTATTCTAGTTTCCCTGCCACAGGATCTAAATTGGACTTTTAATCAAGCAGCCTCAGTCCCCAGTCTCTTTTCCCCGCTCCCCAAGAAAGTAGATGGGGTCGGCAAATAGGAGGCGATGGGGTTTTGCGCTTTAGTTTTTCTTTCTGGATGCTTTACATTGCTTGGAAGAGCTCTACTTCGTTAGCAAGAGAGGGAGAGTAAAAGCTACCAGACACATACAGAGTCCAGGAGACAACTACCTGCCAATGCTCTCTGCTATCTATTACCAACATGCAGGAACATAACTGACGGGGAAAGCCAGGGATGCGAGTCTTGCAGGGACTGGGAAGAGGGAGGGATAAAGAAGGCACCTACCTTAGCGCAGGGTATTGAAATCCAGCAGCAGGTGAGCAGTAGACGCTGCAGTGCATTATTATCCCATAGACCAGTAGTGCTAGGATCGCTTTGCTACACATTGCCACTCTGTGTGTAAGGGAAGAAAGAAAAAAACAGCTGTCAAAATGCTCTCCTCACGCTCCCTTTCCCTTCTAGCTTTGCCACTAGCAAAATCTAACCCGTTAGAAATCAAGTCTTAAGTGTGCTCGATTTAACAACAACAAAACGTGTCCGCGATTTGTGTGGAGCCGTTTGTCTTCAATTACAACCAGACACAACCCCCACTTCCCAGCACACAGGCGCGCACACACACACGCACACATACACACACAAGAGCCTGGGCTAACGAAACCCGATCTCTCCGGTTAAAGCTGCTGGGATGCCTGCGATACATTTTCCTTACCATTAAACTCTTAACACCCGGCACTAAGAGAGTTTGGCTGCGCAATTAAAAGGTAGATTTAAAAACCAAAACAAAAAAACTGTCTCCCAAGTTTCAGCCGAAATAGTTAAAACTCTTGTGTCATCGCCTCTCTGACGATCAAAGGAGCCGAAGGCAGAAGAGCAGCAGTTACTTGTCTGCTGGTTTAAGAGGATCCGCTCAAAAAAAGTTTGTAGGTAGCAGCCAGCACAGATCTGGAGTGGAGTCTGTCAGGGAATGGACAGCAAGAAAGAGGGAGTAAGGGAAGGAGACAGAAGGGAGAAAGAGAGAAAAGAACACAAGAATGGGGAAGAGAAAGCCAAGGAGAGAGAGAGAGAGAAGACGGGAAGCAGAAGCAGGCTGTGCTGGAGCTGCTGTCAGTGAGATGTTCTCTTCCCCAGATCTTTTCCTTCACTGAGATGCTTCTCGCTTCAGCTGCTGCTTTGTCCTTCTTCTTGCTCTGTGACTCCAAAGTTGACCACCCTTCCGCAGCTCGTTTTTTTATGCAATTAGCAACAAAATCTTTGCAAACACCCTGCTTTATCAAGAGCCCTCTTTGTAAACATCGGTCTGCATGTTACCTTTAAGGGCGGCAGTATTGTTTGTTGCACTGTTGTGGCGTTCGGATTTTTATTCATGAATCAAATGAGTTTTTTTTTTCAGTCACGTAATAATCGGGTATCAGAAAAGACGTCACCACCTCAATTCCTCAAGGAACATAACAATTCTGTGCCGTCCTCGCGGATGATCTGATCGAGAGTCATAAGCTTCTCATAAACACTTTAACTCACACTTTTTTTTTTTTTTTTTTACACAGAGGTCTAGAAGATTTAATGCTTGTCGAGTTCTCCCTGATTCAAGTTGTGGGGAGGGATAATAGGCTGCTGAGGAAATTTTAGGCTTTTTACAGACCCCATCCTGAATGGTGGTCTCAGCAGCCTAACCACAGAGCAGCTCTGTTTGAAAAGATGAGCTCTGATGTGATAACTTCTATATAAATTCGTTTGGCAAAGCCCAGGGTTCTAATGTGGTACATATGTTCCCTTCAACGGGGCAATTAAATAAAGAAATACGCTAGCGTTCTTACTGTTGTTGTTATTGTTATAAAGGCTGTTTGAAGTCTTGGAGGCCTCTCAGTAATTTTCTAATTAGAGTTTGTAATTGACAGTTGCTGGCTGGTGGGTGGATTGATTAGCTGAAGGCTCCCAGCGTGGAGCTGTCCAAACTCTGCGGTGCTGAACTGGGGAAATGTGGCAACCAAAAGACTGACTTGGAATAACATTTTCACCATTTGTTTTTTTTTTTTATGCAGAGCTCCCAGATGGGTAGAAGAAAATTAGCAATGCCATAATTCAGCCTATACAATTATGATGTCTCACAATCACTGTAGCAACAAAATATTTACAGCAAGCTATAGCGTGTCGTCATATTTTTCTGTGCGTGGGATTGGAAAACATCCCTTACTATTTGGGAAAACACGCCACAGGGTCCGATACTGTCCTTTATTTGATGATGCTGCATATTAATTTCGGCCACAAACATCCCCATTAGAGGACTGAAATGATTAGAAATTCGCAAGCCCTGATTCACTTGTCACTGACAGGAACGGAGCGCAGCATATGTTACTTTTCAGGTCTAATTTTCACTGTGTCCCTTTCCCTTCCTGTCTACTGTCTGCGATTTGAGCTCCTTGCAGGGCAGCACAGACAGACTGGAAAAGAGAGAGGATTTCCATTAAAAGTTCATTTGCTGAGGGACTCTTAAGGGAATCCCTCCGTTGGGAGGTCTCAATCCACCGATATTATCTTACTGAAAATGACGTGGAGGCATGAAAGCGCTGTGGGAAGACCACCGTCTGGCTTCCAAACCTCTTGATATTTCGGTGATCTTCTTGCTCCCCCTCAACGGTAGAAATTCAGATTCATTTCCGAGAATTACCCAAAGAAATACAGACTGCAGGAGCCATTACAGTGCATTTTAATTATTTGGCTCATCAGCAGAGAATTCAGGAAGCAGCAATAATTTAGTCCTCCTATTTCCTATTTCAATGGTTTGGGTGAAACATGTTTAAATGAGCTATTTGAGCTCAAATCGATTTCTCAAAAACATACAATTACAATCCTATTATGATCATTGAAGATTTCAGTATTTTCCCGGGGGTTCAGGAACTGGAACTTGAATGAAGTATTCCCTTAGCAATGGTAAGCTATGCGATTATGGAAAGGCTCAATATATAATACAACATTTGTATACACAATTATTTTATAAACACTATGTTAAATACTGTAATAGTCCTTTGGTATTTGGCAAATAACTAAAAATCTAAAACTTCAAGGATCCAATAATACTATAAGAATCAATGGGTGAGTGTTTTTTTCCTAAGGGGAAAGAATAGCTACTTGTTCTGATGATGAGAGGTTGCCTTGATAATGTTGGGGTGAACCTATTAAAACTTCTAATCTTGCTTCTCCAATGAATTCCAAACTGTGTTGGATACAGAGAAATACCGGAATACGTTTAAGAGTCTCCGGAAAAGGACACTCAGTGTAAGTAGAGGGTGCCATCGTGTGGGGACTTTGTTGTTTTCATGACCTATTAAAGAAAAAATATATTTGGGGCCAAATCCTGAAGCTCTCATTCAGTCTTTGCTTAATACATATTCAGGTAAAAAACACAGAGGCCAGAGGAGTTTTGCCTGAACAAAAGCCGAGTGAAGGCTTCGAGGTTTGATTTACAGCGAATATATTTATGCATAAACTCCCTTTAATTTATTCTTGCCCTCCAGATCCCTCAGCAGCTTGGAACAGATGTCATATTATTAAATCAACCTGCCAGGGAAATGTTTCCTCATTATCCCCTCCCACCTCATATGTGGAATTTTTCTCCAAAATTACCCTGGCCCCAAATCGAGGATGGCAAGATCCAGGCTTGGGCTAATAACAGCTTTTCTAGCACAAGAATGTCATGGCTTTAAGCCTGATATCTTTCATTCTTGAGAGAGAGAACAACGAGTTCTATAGGGTTGGGAAAGGAAGATTTCCCCTGGTTCAAAGTGACAAGAATCCACTATATTAGACTTAAAAGATATTTTAGGTGATTTTTATTTATATGTATTCAATTGTTTTTCCTCCCTCTGACTCTGCAGTGGTAAGCAGGGTAACTAAAGCATCTACCTATCCAGAGAGAGGGATACAAGAAATACAAATGAAAAAAATTAAACTTTCGAACATTTTATTTTTCCCCTGTAATCTATATAGCGTATCCAGAATAAACCTTAGCATGCTATGGTAAAAAGGTTTATGGACACTCATTTAAGGTGAGCTGCAAAACTCACAACTGTCTTTGCCACTCCTGAGAAATCCAATGATCCCAAATTCATGCCAATAAAAACCTGTATAGCACACCGCTCCATCATGTATACCATTCATGTGCAGGCACATAATATACACATACTACATTAGCAGTCTAGGTTGAAACAACAATAAAGGTTTGATTTTGGGCTGCCGAAGAAAGTAGATTCCAAGCTAACTCTGTAATTTGAAAGGGATTTAAGATTCCAAATATTTGATCTTAGGTATCACATATGAAGCAACATCTGCACACAAACAGGTGAGCTAAGACTTTGGTGGCAGAATTTTCTTCACCTTCCTTCTATCACCTGAAATTAATCATTTTAATTTACCTGAATGCATCCTTTGTTTTTTCAAAATATTTCACAAAGTATATTTTTAAATTTCCATAGATATTTTAGTGGAGTTATAGATCCTCCAAGCCTGACACAATATGAATGTACTAACACCCTGAGGTGGATATCTCTAAGGATGTGGTGGTGGTGTCATAGATTTTCATTCAATCGTGCATATTTCATACTTGTCTACATATGGTGGCTGGTGCTTGAAGGGTAAATCTATTCATTTTTCAAACCCTTTTTTAGATCTAAAGGCACAGGACTTTATGACAACATCAGAAGCAAGCCTTGTTATCAGTCTACAAGCCAGGAAGAAATCATATGCATATATGGAGCCACAGCCATGCTTTCCCAGCAAGCCTACCCTTTGCTATGTTTTCCACAGAAACTTGGACTGCAGTATTTGGAGCCTCTGGTTTCTCCATAAAATACCACCAGTAAGTTTAAAATACAAAAGAATTAATTCTTTCCTCACAAAAAAATCACATGTGACAAAAACACAAATTCTCCAGGCGGGTTGATCCAATACCATGTCTTTTACCAAACCTAATGCATCACACATTATTGTATCAGTGTCAAAACAAGCAGCTTAAAGCCATTCTGTACTTTCTGAGCAAAGCGCCTCCTTCCAGTTTTGAATCTCTTCTGCATAGTGATAAACCACAACAATTCCTCTCTCACCCCCAGGACACCAACTCATCATGAACAAACCTTAGTCTTTTAACCACAGCTCCATTTCCCTTTGCAGAACTCCCTGGGAAATAGATGGAGTACTATTCTAGCTAGCACCCTCTTGCACAGTTTGCACTGAAGTTCATAACATCTGATCTACTACAAAAGGCTTCATCTCTCCTACCTAACTGTCCTTCGGAGAACTAGGCCAAATGATTCAGACAAGCATACAAAGGACAAACCAAAGAAGAGTTATTCATGGCATAATACTTTATTACTACTAAAACTCCCAAGTGAAT